AATAACACATGACACAAGGATGCCTAGCGACTAATAGCTGACCTGAACCAGACAGGATGTTTTTCTCAGGACTGAGGTAGCTTGTTTGCCTTAGGCACAAAGGCCCAGTCCCACCTATACACATTTGATCAGTTTCCTCCCAACACTGATGGCAGTGATGTATGTAGGAGCCAAGGCCTGCTACCTTGACAGCTGATGGAGTTGACAGGATCACGGTGTAGGGTCCTTCCCAAGCTGATCCTAAAGGAAAAGATAATGAAGAAAGTGGCATTGCTAGTACTAAATCTCTGGGGTGGATAATGAGATCTCCCTTCTCTTTAGGCTAAGCTCTGTTAGCTGTTGAAGAATCGGTTGGAATTTAGCCAACGAGGTGACATCTTTTAGTAAGGCATCTGTTTCTCTATCAAACAGAAAAATCAGGGAGAAAAGTGTGTCCATAAAGCATTTTAAATGGACTGAGACCTAGAATTTGAGAAGGTGACCAGAGAATTATCTGGAGAGTGACCAGAAGATAGGTCAGGTTGGAATAACTACCCTTACCAGCATGGTGTATCAGTCAGGGAAACAGTAGAGAAACAGTACAACACAAGATAGACAAATGCATAAGAAATGACAAGTTTGGCTTATGATGGTCAGCCACAGAGTTAGAAGAGGAACTTGCAGCATAAGTCTGCGCACTGGAGGCTGAAGGGTCCAGTACAAGGTCTGGAGCTCACAGGAGCTGACTTCCACTCAAGTCTGTATCAGGAGACTCATGGATATGTGACAGAGCACTGAAGAATATACAACAAAGGCCGGAGGGTCTACAGCAGAAGGCTGAAGAGTCCAAGGCAGGAGCTGAAAGTCTGCGCCAGAAGCCAGGAGATGGTGACCAAGCTGAAGGTGAAGACTGAAGCGGCTCTGAAGAACCCGCATTCAGTCCTTCCCCATTTCCCTCTATGTAAAAGGCATTTTGTCCATCCACAAGAGTTTCCATGGTAGTATTTCAGCACTTGAAAAATTCAAATCTCTTCTGAGATGTAAGGCAAACTGTTCACTATAAGGCCCTGTACAAATCAAAAGTTGAACACTTCCAATGTCCAATGGCACAACATAAATATTTCCATTTTCAAAAGTTACAAACAGGTGGATACCAAGGATTGGGACAAAAGCAAGCTCAAAATCTAGCAGGGCAAATATTAAATCCTTGGCTCCATGCGTAGCAACTGAGGCAATCTGTAGCACACTGTGAATAGAACTTGGATAATTCCACCCCTAGCACTTCAGTGTTTGTAGCTCCCATGGCCTCTCTCTTGGGCTGGCTTTGCTCCCTCCTTGCAGCTTTCCTTAGATGATCCATGTTCCTGGCTTTTCCAAACTTCTGGGGTCTCCACTGCACCTTTGACTTCACCCTCACAGCTTTACCCACAGCCCTTTTAGGGGCACACTGCCTGGCCTTCCAAGCCTTTGGAAAGCTGGTCTTCCGAGCTCTGACCAGAATCTCTCACACAGGACATCCCAAGGTGGTCCAGCTGTGCTCTTTCAGGTAACATCTTCAAACATTTCCAAACTCTTCTGTCAGGTCTCCAAACTAGACCCTGCCCAGCTAGGAGAGAAAAACTCCCCAAGCAGACTTGTTATTGACATCTTTGGGAGCACAGCAGCGTTCCACAGGAAGCCAGAAGCTTCTGGCAGCTCTGACATGCAACTCAACCAGCTTGCAGCTGTTCCACACAGCTCAGCTGCAGAGAGTTGATCACACACACACACACACATACACACACGCACACACACACGCACACACACACACACACACACACGACATGCTGTGCCTGCCTGCACTCCTGATAGCCAGCACTGCCTGTCTATCACCTAGCCCTAGACTCTCTACTCAGAGACCCAAACTTTTGTACTCCCTCAGTAATGCTCCCGTCCCCTACCTAGACTTCCCTATAAGACATGCTCTTGCCCCTTGCTCAGGGCTAATGGTCTTTTCACCCTTGGCCCAGCCTCACCTGGTCTGCGATAAAGTCCTCACTTGTTGCTTAATTCTGTCTCAGTGGTCTCAACTGTGACCCCATTTCCCTCATCACTTCCCATAAGCCATTCCCAAAGGCTTCTTTCTGTTCCTCCCTTCTACTTCATCTCTTCCACTGTAAGCAAGTTCCTGCTCTGTGTGGGTGGCATGTAGCACTCACAGCATCTCCCTGCCCTGGTCTTGCACAGGCTCAGCATGTTTACAAAGTGAGGACCCTGGCCCATACTGAGTCAGTTAAGCTTCTAAAATTCTCAGGTTGAGCCAATGTATCAACCATCACAATGGGCCCCCGACCTTCTCTGCAAACTTACACTCTTACCTCCAGTGCATGTTTTTTTTTCAAAAGCACAAGTTACAATTGATTCCAGATGTAACATTCATGTTTAAAGAAAGAAGCATTGCTAGCAAAATTAAGTCAATAATCAAGAGACCTGAACAGTTGTTTTCCAATTTGTTGTTGTTGTTGTTTTCTTTTTTTCTGTATTTTAGGGAAGGGTCTACAGGGTGTTCAGGGTCTCACTACTAGATCGACTCATAGTGATCCTCCTGTTTACAGCCTCCCAAGTGCTGGGATTACAGGTGCTTGCCACCATGCTCAGTCTCAACTGCCATCTCAGCATGCCCTGGGGGCAGGGCCAGCACAGCAGGGGTCGAAGCCTTGGCCCCTGCTCTTGCTTGCAGGTGCTTTAATCCACGGAGCTATTTGGCTGGCCCTTTTCAATTCTTTGAAAGAGGAAAAACAAAATCAAAGGAGAACTTGGAAGTGATTAGAGTACTTCCTAGCCTGCAAAAGAGATCACCTCCATAAATAGAAGCAAGTAATGGCTCAGAAAATCCTGCCCTAGCCCCAGGTAAAGAAATCCCCAAGACATTTGTGCTGTCTCCTAGTCATCTAGGCGATCTTCCTTAGCAACAAGACGAGGCTAAGTTTTCCTTAAAATCATTTATTTATTTATTTATTTAGTACAGGGTCTCACTACACAGCTCAGACTCATAGTGATCCTCCTGTCTCAGCCTCCTCAGTGCTGAGATTACAGGCATGTACCACCATGCCTGGTTTTGGTGGCCGGCATGGTGTGCCTGGGGTTCTGGAGCTGGCTCAGCATATGGTACCAGGGATCAAACCTGGGTCCTTGCACTTGTCAGGCAGGTGCCTAGACCACTGAGCTATCTCCCTGGCCCTGACAAGTCTAACTTTTATGTAAAATTCACTCTAAAATTTCCATGTCTCTGTATCTACAACACTTATGAAATACACACATTAAAACATGTACCCATCATTCAGCAACCAAAATTTACATATTAGCGAAAGTACTTCCCTGTCTTATGTACATAATGATGAGGACCAGGGGAGAGAGAGCCAGCAGGTTGGTGGTTCTGTCTTAAACTGAATGTATTTTAGTCCTTAAATATTGTGCTTTAGAAAACAGCTCCTTTTGGTCTCATCCAGAATCTGGTTCTTTCCACAGGTCCTCAATTTCCCACACCTAGGAAGCCTTAAAAAGGAAAGTACAAAGTGACAGAAAAAGATAGAAGTGAGATCAGAGGAAGGAAGTCTTTCCTTCTCATGCTCATGGTGGCATTAATAAATTGACTAAGACAATTCATTTATGAGTTGGCACCCTCAGCCCAGGAAGATTAAAGTGAGGAATCTCAAGAGCTAGGATCCACTCTGATTCAGCAGAAAAACAGGCTGAAAGGAAACTGAGGCAGAACAAGCTCAGCATTCCCCTGTGGACCATAGAGGGAGTATCCAGACAGACTGTCCCAGTGAAGCCTATCCTCTAAGCTTTAAGAATGGCTGCTGGCCTATTGCCTTTTAACAGGCAGTTGAAGTCCTGTGACTTATAAATAGGCATATATATTTCTTAAATATAAACTAGATTTCATAAAAAGATCCATTTTACAGCATTTCATGAATTCATATTTTGGTTAGTATCAAATCTACTAGTAGATGTTCTAAGATTTCTTTTTTCTAGCACTGCTGTCTAAAGTAAGACAACAAACCACAATAGTAAAAACAAATCAAGTTTGTCAAGCAAGGAGTACCAAATAAATTCAGTAACTATTACCCAAATGCAGGATGTAGAAAACTAGAATAAAAGAACTTGCCTGCAAAGTAAAATGTCTCATTGAAGAAACATCACAACTGCTCCATCAATTATCATTTTGACAAAAAGTAATGTGTAGAAATGAGAAGGCATAAAAACTCAAGGTGTAAGCAACTGACAAACAAGAATGACAATTTCTGACTACCTTCACAATCTGAAGCAAACTCCTACCGCCTTCCAGTTATCTTAGTGGAACCTCCAAATGATATAGGCAAAATAACACAGCTCTCAACTGCTAGATATCAGATATGCTGAGTCCATGTCCCCAGAATCAAAAAATTAATTCTAAGGAACAACAGAGGTTAAAATAGGAAAATTTTCACTGAAAGAGACCTCTCATGAGAGACAGGAGGGGACCTGGAAGTAGATTGCTGTGGATCCCACTTCACAGAGGAAGTTTTATAGAGCAAAATTGCAAGGTGAGTACAAAGTCATGTGGTGAATATAATGTGGGTCAAATCTATGATCAACCAATAAGATTACAAGTGTAGCTGCTGAGGTAATTGACCAGTGAATAAGGAGCTCACATAGCAGGAGTACATGGAAAGAACAAGGACCTCTTCAGGAATAGACGCATCAGGTGGTCCTGGTCACCCACCTGGCTGACTTGAGGTCTAGCTAGACTTTATTGGACCAGGTGGTATCAACTGCAGTATAATCTTCAATTTAGTGCTTATTCCTCAGGGAGGTGTGTAGGCCTGGTTATTCCATCTTTATCTTGAGGCTGGCCTTCAGCAGATGCACTGCACAATTATAATGTGTTCTCACCCTCTGCACTGACTCCCTTGAGGGCCTAGTCCTGTCTAACTGCCTATAATATTTCTACCCAACTTAGCTATCTATTTAAAAAAACAAAACAGAGGCGTCGCCGCTGCTGGAGCGGCCGCCTCCACAGCTGCCTGTGGTGGGATCCGGTTGAAGAGGAAGCGGAGGCGACACTCTCCTCGGCCCCCTTGCCTCGGTCTTCTGTGGACCTTCAAGGGGAAGCACAGTACTTGCTCACGTGTTGCTAGAGGAGGAGTGGACAACACCAGAATGAGTCTGCATGGTGCTAGTGGGGGACATGAGAGATCAAGAGACAGGCGGAGGTCAAGTGACCGATCACGAGATTCATCTCATGAAAGAACAGAATCTCAGCTCACTCCTTGTATTCGAAATGTTACTTCTCCAACATGACAGCACCATATCGAAAGAGAAAGAGAAAAAGATCATAGTTCTTCTCGTCCAAGCAGTCCTCGTCTTCAAAAAGCATCTCCAAATGGTTCAGTTAGCAGTGCTGGGAGCAGCAGCAGAAACAGTAGTCAGTCAAGTTCAGATGGCAGCTGTAAGACAACCGGGGAGATGGTGTTCGTATATGAAAATCCAAAAGAAGGCGCTCGGAATGTGAGAACATCAGAACGAGTGACGCTAATAGTGGATAACACTAGATTTGTTGTGGACCCATCCATTTTTACTGCACAGCCAAATACAATGTTGGGCAGAATGTTTGGGTCTGGCCGAGAGCATAATTTTACACGTCCCAATGAGAAAGGAGAGTATGAGGTTGCAGAAGGAATTGGTTCCACTGTATTTCGAGCCATTCTGGATTACTATAAGACAGGAATAATTCGTTGTCCTGATGGCATATCTATTCCTGAGCTGAGAGAAGCGTGTGATTATCTCTGTATCTCTTTTGAATATAGTACTATTAAATGTAGAGATCTCAGTGCCCTGATGCATGAGTTGTCAAATGATGGTGCTCGTAGGCAATTTGAATTTTATCTTGAAGAAATGATCCTTCCTCTCATGGTAGCTAGTGCCCAGAGTGGGGAGCGAGAATGCCATATAGTGGTGCTCACGGATGATGACGTAGTCGACTGGGATGAAGAGTATCCACCACAGATGGGTGAAGAGTATTCACAAATTATTTATAGCACAAAATTGTATAGATTTTTCAAGTACATTGAAAACAGAGATGTGGCCAAATCAGTTTTGAAGGAGAGGGGTCTTAAGAAGATTAGATTGGGAATAGAAGGTTATCCTACATACAAAGAAAAAGTAAAGAAAAGGCCTGGAGGCCGCCCAGAAGTCATTTACAACTATGTCCAAAGACCCTTTATTCGAATGTCCTGGGAGAAAGAAGAAGGAAAGAGTCGGCATGTAGACTTTCAGTGTGTAAAGAGTAAATCTATCACCAACCTGGCAGCAGCTGCTGCAGACATTCCCCAGGACCAGCTGGTAGTCATGCACCCCACTCCACAGGTGGACGAGCTGGACATCCTTCCCATCCATCCCCCTTCTGGCAGCAGTGACCTCGATCCTGACGCTCAGAACCCAATGCTGTGACGCTGTCGTTGAAACCGTAGCATGCTACTCTTCTCAGTCTCATTCCGCACTGCAAGGCCGCTCTCCTTCATTGTGAGGTGCACATGTGTAGGGTATTGCAGTGTAGGTATTTTTGAAGACCAAAGGCAGCTGAATGGTTTTTTTAAATGAGTACAACTCTAGCATCCTGAGGTTCCAGTTATAAAAATGTATTTGTTTACCAGTAGATTTGTGAAATTGGTTCTTTGTATGGGGAATAGTCCTTTTTCACACATATAGGTCTTTTCAGAAGTGATGGAAATTGGTAGCTGGGGTGTTTTCAACAAAGACTGATATTCATCATACCCCAGATAAAAGGCAGATTATTATATAGTTGCACTTTATAAATGGTGGTTAATTGGAATTGTTCAAGCCATTTTAGAGTTGTGATGTATAATATAACTTAAGTGCTTCTATCAAAGTTTTCCTTCAGTAAAATGTTTATAGTTTGCTGCCCATGGTGAAAAAATAGTATTTATCTTGGGCTTATTTGAATGGTTAGGATGAGATTTAGTGCTCATGTCTTACTGGTTCACTCACTTCTATCCAGTGCCGTTTCACCCTTTCAGAGTGAGTCACATGCAGGGAGTGTGAACATCAGAGGTGGTTTATTATCCAGTCTGCCTTACCCTTAATCTGTTCACAGATACTTATTACTAATGCTTTTTTTCTTAAGCGTTATGAGATAGGAAAATGAAGTGTTTGCTCTTCATTTACTAAATGATTGTAAACTCAAGTTTTTCATCGAAATAAAATTCCATTGGTTTTAATGTTAAAAAAAAATAAAAAAACAAAACAAAACATACTTGATCCCCAATGCCTTACAGCAATAGTGCTAAAGAAGCTTGAAAAGACGAACAATGTATATATCTCTCCTGCTCTACTGCCGGCTATTTTGCTGACATCAGCACCTGCAGTTCAGCCCGGAAAGTGTAATAAAAATGCAGCACAGGGCATAAGAGTATTTCAAAAGCTCTGCCTAGAGGTTCTTTTCACTCAATGGAATGAGAAAGGAACTGAAAAGACAGAGCAAACAAATAGGACGAGAAAGGCTTTGTGTGAATTAAGCAGTGTTCTACTTTATACATTCCTTTTTTTAGTGTATATAGATAGTGTTTTCACCATGTGCTTTTCTTGCCTGCTGGTTCATTAGTGGGCCATGAATTGCATTTTTATGTGTGTAGGTTGCCATCAAACTAATTAAACTGAAAGTATGGGAGTTGCCCCCATGATTAATCACTGTGCAGTAGCCTAAAGCGGCTTCAGGGCTTTGAGACTGATTTTTTTGTACTTTTAGGTTGTAAGGAAATCTGGTCTAAAGTGAAACATAATGGCTGCAGATTGCAATGCTGCTCATTAGCAAAGCTCTTGCTTCTGAAATCAGTGCTGAGGATTTTCCTGCAGGGAGCTCAGGCTGCAGTGCCTACAGATTTTGCTTCTAAACATCAGCTACCGAGAATATTAAATGACTTACCAAAGTAAGGTTGTCACTTTGTGTCAAATCATTCAGCTTCCAAGCTAAGCACACTTTCTTGGGCATGACAAGAGAGTTTGAATGATTCATGAAAACTTTTCTCCATGTTAAAAATTAAAAGTGGTCCAAAAAACAAACAGAAAAAAATGAAGGGAAGAAGGAAATAACAAGCAAAATGATACATTTATTTGTAGCACAAAATAGAACTTCCTTTGGCAAAACATATTCTCTGTATAAGTAACACATATATATGCAAACACAAATGCACATATAAATGTATACACGAAGAATTCAAATGCTTTCTTACCTATAACCCTACCTACAGCAGTTATGTATTTTTTCTCTAAAAACCATCACTTATGTAAGATTACATTTAATAACTTGTTTATGTTCATTTAGACAATTTATTATGACTGTTTTTTTCATAATTTTATTGAGAAACAAATAGCAATGAGACAGTTTCAAATCAAATTGGTAGGACAGTTTCAATAATTAACACATTGCA